TGTCCGTGTTTACGGGCAGGGTTTGAAGCAGTTGGGCAGTCTATCTATCTAAATCTTATCTAAATTTTTGTTTAGTAGTGACCATGACAAAAAAATGTGCGTTTGTATTGCCAAAACAGTGCAAAAATGCATCTTTCTCTCTGTCTCTTTCCTTCAGGGTCAGACTGTGTCTTTGGCTTCTGTTTCTCGTGTGGAGGAGGTGTTGTACGTCTATCAGCCTCTGTGCATTGACACATACGGGCCGCCCATTCCAGAACTGGATCAGTTGGGCCGATTAGGGTAACAATCTCTTGCATTTTGCTAATGTGAATTATATTATATTATGTAACACTTTACAATAAGGTTTCATTGGTTGACATTAGTTAACTACATTAGTGTTGGGTCCAAGTCTACCTTGTTGAGTCCAAGTCCAGTCCTAGTTTTTAACGAATTGAGTTTGAGCGGGAGACGTTTATTAATGTATTTCATATTAATTTTATTTGTCACTTATTTTTTTTTATGTTACACATGACGTGGATTCGTCTGAAAAATTTCTGCATCCAAAATGTCAGAGTCCACCCAAGTCCAAGTTTATTAACAGTTGCACTCAAAGTCCGAGTCCAAGTCCTGAGTCCAAATACCCCAACTCTATTAGTTAACATGGACTAACAAGGAAAATTTTATTTTGTCTGACTTTAGTTTGGGGACCAATTCACACTATTAACTAACTATTAACTATGACTTTAGCCTCAATAAACTTCTAATTTGCTGTTGTATGGTAGTTGTTAAGTTTAGGTATGGGGTAGGATTAAGGGATCTAAAATATGGTCATGCAAAATAAGGCATTAATATGTGCTTTATAAGTACTAATAAACAGCCAGTATGCTAGTAATATGCATGCTAATAAGCAACAAGTTACCTTTATTTTTTTATTAACCCACAAATAAAAACTAAAAATACATAGCTTATTGTTTGTTCATCTTAACTAACGCATTACTGTATTACCTATTATATTATATTATATTATATTATATTATCAGTATGCCAGTTAATTGATGGGCATCAAGGAACAGACTACATTTAATTAAATCAAATTATTATTATTATTATTTTTATTCATACATAGGGATATTGTTTACTTTTTGTACCTTCTCGTTTCCCTTTCTGCCAGTGAGAGTGTGTGTTTGACAGAGATAAATGACCTCTTATTCAAACAAATAAACCACATCTCCCATGGTGCCCTGCTCCCAGGGTAAACAGGAAGTCTGCAGACATTTTTGCTATGCTTGCAGTTTCACGCTTCACTTAAGTTTGACTTTCTCTGTAAGACACACTCTCACTCTTCTCAAACACACACAGTTTTTGAAGCTGTATTAGTATATATAAGGGCCTCTCGTTAATGCAATGATCTTTATTCTGCCAATGCTGTTTACTATATCTTACCTCTATAATAATTTCAACATGTCTGCACCCATGAGACAACTCGCTTCATGTCAAATAAAACAGCTTTTATTAGGCTACTGATGACTATAGTATTAAAGGGATAGTTTACCCAAAAATGAAACATTTGTTGACAGAATGTTCACCTTTAAATTAAAATTAAGCTTAACCCTAAGTTATACACTTGCAGTTGAAGTCAATGGAGCAAAAATGCAAGTATTGGCTCATAGACTTCCACTGTAAGTGTGTTTCTGTCACAGATGCGGTTGACAGAGCTTAACTTGTATTGAACCCGCACACACACAGGTAGATAGATAGATACACACTGGAATCTTCAGCAGAGGATATTGTGATGTGGTTTGGGCTGAAAAGCAGAGGACAGGAGAAGAAAAAGTGTGAGGGTTATGAAAAGAGAAGATAGGGTGGATCACTCTCTCTTTGTTTCTTTTTCTCTGTCGTTCTGAAATCTTTTTTTTCTTTCCAGCTTCAGTCTTTTGAAGTCGAGAGCGGACGAGTCTCTGAGTGTTTGTGTGTGTGAAGTTGACAGAGAGACGGATTGTTTTTTTGCTATTTGTCTTAGTGTGTTTTGACAGTGAGTTAGTGGAGATTTATGTTGGACTGGTTTGTGTTTTTGGAGGGTCATGTATGTATTCACTTCCACCTCACCCCCGAGGCGAACCCCGTCCTCTGTGTCCGTCCCTGTTCTGTACCTGTATAAATACAGATTGGGTGGGGCATTTTATTAAAGACAGCTGTGTGTGTGTGTGTGTCTTGAAAGGAGGTGATTGGGTTGGAAGTTTTCTTTCCTCCACACACAATGTTTTCAAGTGCAGTCAGCTGCATCTCTGTGTAATGTGTGTGTGTTGTACACCTCACCCCCGAGGCGAACCCCGTCCTCTGTGTCCGTCCCTGTTCTGTACCTGTATAAATACAGATTGGGTGGGGCATTTTATTAAAGACAGCTGTGTGTGTGTGTGTGTCTTGAAAGGAGGTGATTGGGTTGAAGTTTTCTTTCCTCCACACACAATGTTTTCAAGTGCAGTCAGCTGCATCTCTGTGTAATGTGTGTGTGTGTTGTATGAATAGCGTTTTTTTTTAGGAGATAACTATGCCTTAATATGCTCTTCTACTCTTACAATGTTGCATTTAAATATATTTCAAATTTTGCCTATACAAGTCTCCCTTGATGGATCAGTAATCTTCCCATCAAACCCTCTCAGGACACACACACACACACACATTCAGTCAGTCTTGAGTGATGTCTTTGGTGAGTTTGGAGACGTGTCTGCAGAGATTTGGATAAGGTAATTAGTTTAAGAGGCATTTGGTATTGGACAGGATACGACTTGCATGCGAGTCTGTGTTTATATTAGGTTTTGTTAAAGTTTTGAAATAATCCAAGTTACATTGAATTCCATTCTAAAGTTTGGGTTCATTAAGATTTTTTTATGTTTTTAAAAGAAGTCTCTAATGAATTTATTAGATCAAAAAAAGTAAAAATAGTTTAAAATAACTGTTTAAAATAACTTTTTTAATATATTTAAAAATGTAATTTATTTCTGTGTTAGCAACGCTGTATTGTCAGCAGCCATTACTCCAGTCTTCAGTGTCACACGATCCTTCAGAAATCATTCAGTAAGCTGATTTGGTGCTCAAGAAACATTTATTATTTTCAATTTAAAAAAAAAATGCTGTTTAATAATTTTTTGGAAACCATGATACCTTTTTTTTAAAGATTATTTGATAAATAGAAAGTTCAAAAGAAAATTGATTTCAAATAGAAATCTTTTGTAATATTATAAATGTCTCTATTTTCATTTTTTATCAATTTAATGCATCCTTGTTGAAAGTTTATTTCAGTTAATTTCTTTAAAAAAAAAAACCTTACTGATCCCTAACTTTTGAACGGTAGTGTAAAATTCCAAATAGTTTGACAACTTGCAGTGGTTTATTTTTATTTTTTTACTTCTGTTCCTTCTTATTTCTTTTGTGTTGTGCACAGTGAGTCCTAAAGTCTGAAACTACTGAAACTACTAGTGAACATGCTTCTATGTTGCATCATTTTTTTATTTTATTTTTTATGTTAAAGGGGTGGTTGACTGGGTTTTTTCTAGGCTTGATTGTGTTTATGGGGTGTTAATGTTATCATGTGTTAATGCTTCGTTTGTTAAAAATCGCAATCAACCACCCCTTTAAATGGAAAGTTTTCACGAGTTTCTTAGTATAATTTTCTTCAGGTCAGAGCGATTGGCAAGGACTTGTCTTTCGCCGTGCCAATGTTTAGACTACTTTGTCTATAGAAACACACTTTGCCATACAGGAAGTCATCTTGTGCTAGATAGGAAGTAATCCATCAGCAGGTCAGAAGAGGGAGCATGTGTGAACAGGGTCAGTAGCTTTATTGTGTTTTTCTACATAAATCTGGTTGATTGTTGTTTATTTAGGTAATAAAGAACAAGAGGTACTGTGAATATAGCCATGTTTAAGGCAATCATTTAAAACCTAGTAAAACAATTACTACTTAATAAAAATATTAAGCACACCCATTTTCATTAGACATTTCATTAGGATAATTCATTAAGTGACTTCCATCCATCCCTCCACCTCTCCCTGTCTGTAAGTTTTTTTTTTTTTTGGAAACTGCATTTTGAGAGTTGAGATTTGAAATTTGCATATGCAAACAAGCATAAAACAAAGATTCTGGCCTTGGCTTCAAGAGTAAATTTGGCTTGCAAATGGCCCCCATTTCTGTGTGTAAGAGGTAGCAAGAGAGAGCTGAACTTTTAAAACATACCCCTAGGGTGCATTATGGGAATTCAACGAACAAACTAAAACGTAATTTGCTGTAAAATTTGCAACGATTTGTATCGTGAAAAGCGCTATACAAATAAACTTTAATTGAATTGAATTAATATCCTCCTAAACAATTTAGTCATAGTCCAAACCCTCACATTAGTCACTTTTCAAACTTCCTTCCAGTTTTCTTTTAAATCTTTTCTTCCTTTAGGACTTCTCTTATTCGTTCTTCAGTTTGAGAGTTTCATTCATATAAAAATATATATACTTTTTTATTTATTTTAACATTTTGAACTTTTTTATAATTACCAAAAATGTAATATTTTAGTTTGTGAGTCCCATTTGTTGTTACAAAAGATTTCTACTTATTCTACTTATTAATCAGCACAACATTGATAAAAAAGAAGAAATGTTTCTTATTTTGTGAAAGCACAAAATCAGCATATTAGAATGATTTCTGAAGGATCATGTGACACTGAAGACTGGAGTAATGATTGCTGAAAATTTAACTGTGCCATCACATGAATAAATTACATTAAAAAATATATTAAAACAAAGTTATTTTAAAATGTATTTATAACTATTATAATATTTGACAATATATACTGTATTTTTGGTCAAATAAAATTGGTGAGCATAAGAAACTTCTTTCAAAAATCTTATTGACCCCAAACTCATTTTCACATAACCACAAAAAAAATATTTGGTTCCAAACAAAAATATTTTCAAGCCTTACAATTTATGGAAAATAATTGACAATATACAACTTGATAAAATGGCTCTTATAATTTGCAATTAGTCTGACTACATTTGACCATTTATGAAGGTCATGCACTTTTATTTACTGCTAACAAATCCATTTTTAGTTTTAAAGACTATTTTGTTCCACTTTCTTTTTTTCGTTCTGAATCTGGATTAAAAAGTGATAACAGTGATTCATTGGGGATTTATAAGTGTGGTTTGTGGATTAATGATGGAGAACTGAAGCAGCATTCTGTGTGCATTAGCTCATGGTCCAGTGCTTCAGTAATCTCTGTTTGTTTAGAAAGTGTGTGAAGCTGAGAGGAGCTTAAGTGTTTCTGATGATACCTGACCCCCTCTATCGCTCTCCACCCCTTCCCTCTCTCTCTTTCCATTTTTCTCCTCCTCTCACTGTAGTATCAGTTTACATGTAATTTTCAGTTCTCTCATAATGAATGGCCGCTGTGAACTCCAGCTGCTGGAGAGTTTTGGGGGTGCTGGGCTGGTGTGAGATCTCAAGAGTTCCTCTCACAAGCATTAGGTTTCTGACGCTTGTCCTGATGGTTTGTGGGTAACCGGCAGCTGTCAATTTGGAGAAGAATGTATGGATTAAGAAGTGACATTTTTTATGCATTGCTACATATTAATATTGATATTTTAGTTATCTACAGCAATTACGTTCTTATATATTTAAATGTGATGTAGTTTTGTTTTTATAATATTTACTACCAAGTTTAAGATCTGTAAGATTTTATTTTTTAAGTAAATTAATACTTTTAATCAGCAAGAATGCATTAAATTGATTTAAAGTGACAGTAAAGACATTTATAATGTTACAAAAGATTTCTATTTCAAATAAATGTTGGACAAAAAATGTATCGTGGCTTGCACAAAAATATTTGGTTCATAAAATATACGGTTTGCAGTACAAAACTAAGGAATAAATGACAATTTAAAATACATTAAAATAGAAAACAGTTAATTTACATTATTAAATTATTTCACAATTTATTTTTGAGCACAAGACATTTTTTCAAAAACATAAAAGTCTTACCCATCCCAAACTTTTGAACAATAATAATGTTATATAACATTATATTTTTCAAAAATATAATTATAGGAACAGCTGACATTTTTGTTTGATAAATTTGAAAATTAAACAAATTTTTTGTTGTGGTTGGGAAATCCATGGACTCATGCATGTAAAACAACAGAGCTGCTCCCTCTAGAGGATAAACCAGATTATACTTCAAGCCAAAATTGTGTGTTTGGAAACCTCTGTTAAGCTATTCACTATTATAACTAATCATCTTCTCTCATGTCCAGGTATTTGAATTATGTGCGCACAGCGTCTCCGCAGGATCAGGCTGGTGGTTATACATCAGGACTGGCATGCCATCGTGCCATCCATGATGCTTTCAGTGGCCTCTTCCCCTCATGATATTATGAAACTACAGCCACTTCCACTCCATCTGTTCATCAGGCTTCCTAAAGACTCACTGACAAGTAAAGGGAGAGGCTGTGAGTGTTCGGACACATGGGAAAGATTCCTGTGAAGGACTCCTTGTGAATATGACCCATTCAGAGGGCCAGCTTCAGAATACCCTGGAGTTTATGTTGAAGAGTGACATAAATAAGCTTTAATAGGTGTACAGATATTTATTTTTTTTGATCAGTTTTGTTATTTTTGTAATGCTGCTTCAGTTAAATAAACACACACACACACAAATTATATGTGTCAGTCTTGGTTCAGTGATCGCAGCATTCACCCACATGGAATGATAATTTATTCAAAACATTAAAAGAACAAAAAACTAAAACATATTAACAGGCAAGTTAACAACCACAGAGTGTATTCAGTCTGTCAGATCCTCACACTTCTGTTTCTTAGGACACGGCTCCTTACTGAAATAAATGAACTTTTCCACGACATTCTAATTTATTGAGATGCACCTGTATCTATGGAGAAAGAGAGACACATTTTAGCATAGCTGAAATGACCTGCCATCAATACTACGGCATGGTGTGTATGTTTTTATTTCATGTTTTAATACTGCTGCCAAATGATACTAGTGAGTGTGAGAGTCTCTTACCTCTGTCTTGAGTGTGTGTACTGTACAGGACCCCTCTCGGCAATGTAAAACTCACACACATCATCTCCTTATTGGGTGCCACATTCCTCACCAGGTGCACAGAACACCATCCTTGCAGGGAAAGCTTGAAACTCACCTCTGCCCGCTCCACTACATCCCTCTGAGCGTCATCTTCCTTGGAGAACCCGTAGCAATGCACCTGTGGCAAGTTGTCATCCGGACAGAAAAGACTCTGGTCTGGCTCTGGGCCCAGCAGACCTCTGAAAGCATCAAGGAACTCTAGAGCCAGTGCGGGAAGGTTCATCACCACATGAATCTTTTGTGATCCCTTCATTAGAGCAGGCAGGCGCTCCCGTACAGGTCCTCGGATGAAGTCCCGTCCATCCATGTTAAATGATGTTATTTTTCGGTCAACCTTGTTGAGTTTAGCATTGTGCTGAAGCCAACAGAAGGACTCCGGGTTCAAGTCGTTAGCGAGGACCTCACAGCCTCGATGGGCCGCTGGGATCGCGAATGGACCGACCCCGGCGAAAACATCCACTACAGTATCTCCGCGCTGAAGAAGGGAAACGATGCGCTCGTGTTCTGTGCTTAGTCGAGGGTTCCAGTACACCAGAGAGAAATCAAACTCGTACAATACGCCATTCTCACGTACCTGAGAGAGGAAAAAAAGGAACATTACAGAATGATGTATGTGAATATGCTGACTTTATTTATAAGATGAACTCACTTTTGCCACCATGTTGCTCTCTCCTGCCAAAACCTCCATTTGGAAGTTCCTGTAAGTGGAATCAATGGTGTTGGTCTTATTGACCACGCAAGTAACGCCAGGGTTCTTATCTATGATTACTTGACCTGGAACAAAACACCAAAAGTCCATAAAAAGGTTTAAACATCAAGGGATAGTTCATAATAAAAACTCTGTCATCATTTAGTCACCTTCATGTCATTCCAAACCAGGGATATTATTGTTAACTAAACCTAAAACTACACACTACACTTTGTTACTTGACAAAGCTGAAATAAAATAAAATGTAAATATTGGATGAAGAACTAAATGAAAATTAAAAATGTTGCCTTGCCAACTAACTGAAATAAGTTGAAGAGCAACATGCATACAGGTTTGGAACGACATGAAGGTGAGTAAATGATGACAATTAGTGGGTGTCTCTTTAAGTTGATTTATTTGTTTATAATCTCTTCTCACCAATTAGTTTTCTGTAGGGCAGCTGGTGGTCTCTCAGGTTCATGTGGGCGATGTGGCCCACTCTACTAAATCCTGATGTCACATCCTGTCCTTCAGGAAGTACAGCTCGCAGTATCTCTTCACTCTTAAGGTTCTCATAGGTGAGTTTCAGTTGGTACTTCTGGATCTCCTGAGGCACCCCATACGCTGTCAGAGCTTCTGCCTCCTCACTGCCAAACGAATCTGCAGACGTAATGCTGTTTGGGTCCAAAAGCAGCAGCCGATGTTCTCCTTTACTACTGTCTTTATTTCCATCTTCATTGTGTTCCTCGACAACCCGTTTGAGTCCTGGCCTCTGTAGTGCCACTTTCTTCAAACTCTTCACCACTTTGTTGAGAACACTGGTTGGTATTCGTATGGCAGGAACACTGACTGTCTGACTGAAAGCTGCTCGGTCCAGTTCTGTCATGCCCCGGACTGTCTGAGGGGGCTTGTAGAGCCCCAAATCAGTCTGTGGTTGGTCAGTCATGGCTTTCTGAGAACGGACAACAGAGGAGCACTGGAGATAAATTCTTGCAAATTGGTTTAAAATCTGAGACAGAGAGATACAACTGTGATGTTTCTGCAACAGGAACAAAAGTCTGCCAGATCTGTTGGTCAAAGAGAGAGAGATAAAGTCATGCCCTGTACAAGTGTCTAATGAGACAAAAATAAGAATTTACAACCTTTTCGTGAATTCATACACAAAATTTATATAAATGCAAATTTTTTAGCAGCAGACTGTTATCTACACTTGATAATAAACTACAAGATTGTTTAGCCACAGAGCTTAAACCGTGTTATTCAACACACTCAAAACATAACTTTTAGATTTATAATAAAAACAAAATAAACTGTCACAGATCACCCTCTCCAGCCGGCAGCCACACGAACACGCTTTTACAGTACGTCATTTCTAAGCGACCGAGACTTCGGCTGTGCCAGACGTGATTGGTCTGTGACGTGTAACATTAGTGGACATGTGACCTTCTTTTATAATCACGTGAATAGCGATGTTTATGTTTGCTTGAGTCTCTCTGAAACCGGTGGTATGAAAGCCGGGTACATGAATTGACGTCCCCGCTAGCGAGCAGCGGGGTTCTGGTTGGTGCAGAACAGTAAACTAAACGGCGGAACATGTGGAAAAACGGCGCAAACTACAGCGTGCAGACGGGGAGCGAGTATGAGCCCATCGGAGAGGAGAGCAGACCGCTCTTAGCGGCACAGGTAAACCACAGCCTGTATATCCTGATAACTTTAATATTAAAAGTAAGAAGAAGAACAAGTGTCATTAAATGATGATCGTCATGATGGTCCTTTTTGTCCCACGTGAACATATTTGTAAATAATAACTAAATAATGAAAATCTGACACCTAGGTTTACTATGTTTTTTATATAATCTAGTATTATGTATTTATGTATGTATGTAAACATTTCATGTTTCGCCCAGGACCGTGCATTGGTAAATGATTATAGTAATTATTTAATAATTATAAAAGTTAATTATGACCTAAAGTCAACATTATGAAATAAAAAGTCATAACTATGATAGCAAAATTGACGTGTCATAGAGACTCATGCCATAATTATGACTGAACAAAGTTTTTTTCCTTATGTGGCGGAAATATGTTACATATGTATGTATTATATTTTATGCATTTATTTATTCTATTATTAAATTTTTTTGGACATAATTATATATTAAAAAGAACTGAGGCTGTGTTTCCAGGTTATGTGTTAACCCTGTTATCATTAATTTTTTATTGTTTTTGTTAAAATGATGTAAAATTCCATTAAGAAACTGCTTCTCTGCTAAGACTAAGACTAAGTTGATTTGTATAGCACAGCATTTACAAAGTATAGGCCTACACAAAACAGTATTTACAAATTGCTTTACAGAGGCATAAAAGAAAATACATTTTAGACATGCCAAAGTAAATTAATGTACATTATTAAAGTAAATCTAGTCTAAACCAGTGTAACTTTACACGCAGTGCTGTACTAGTATTTACAAATTATATTTGATGTTGCTGTAAAACCATAAAGCTGTGCTCTCATGCACACAGAGTATGTGCATTGTCATTTGCTGCCTCATGCTTTCTAATCATTTTCTCTTCATCACATGCTGATCTTATGCAGTTTTATTTTGTCTTTGCAAAGATTTCACTTCCCTTTGTGCTTTCAGTAACTTGGTGTGTAAGCAGACTGTAATGACATTCTTTTTGCATGCTTTGTGGCTTGCATAACATCTAGGATCTATTTTGTCTCAGTTTGCTCTACTGTCATGTCTAATTCCTGGTCTGTTTATCTTCCTCACAGGGTGTTCAGGCTAGAGGTGCATCCTTCTGGTCTTCTGCCTTTAACCTGATGAATGCCATCATGGGTAGTGGCATCCTGGGTCTCTCCTATGCTATGGCAAATACGGGCATCATTGGATTCAGGTACATGCACACAGTGTTCCCGATTCAATACAAGTTCAGCTGTGTTGACAACATTTGTGGCATAATTGATTACAACAGAAAATTGTTTTGATATGCCCCTCAGTTATTTTTAAGCAAAAAATGCAGTTCCAGTAAGGCACTTACAATGACATAAACAGAGCCATGCAAAAAATTATATTTTTACACAAGAATAGAAATGAAGGACTTCTCAATAGAGGAACCTTGCGTGTGTTTCTCACAGTATTCTGTTGCTGGTGGTCTCCAGTTTGGCTGCTTATTCTGTCCATCTCTTGCTGCTCCTCTGTGACAAGACAGGTAATTTCTCTCACTTTTGACCTCTTCTTTACTCTGCTTACTCCTGCTTACCTTTTAACTCACCAGGATTATTATAGTAAAACTAAAACCATAAAAAAACATGTATGTTACTTGAAATAAAATAAACGTTAACTGAAATAAAATTTTTAATA